TCAATTAAATTTGGGAAACAACATGATTATTTCAGCCAGTATCCTTAATGTTAAGAGGAATAACTACACTTGAAAGAAGTTAAAAATACTTCAGAATCTAATGCCTGAAGAACTTTGAGGCAGCTGGCAGGGAAGGACAGGAGAGCAGGGAATAGGAAAGGAGTTAGCTAACTTGCAGTAAAGCAGCAACAATCATTCTACCCATTAGATGAATGGCCAACATTTGAGGTCCTTGTCTTGTAGACTGCAAAACCAGAAAATTCCACAATGGATAAAACAAGAGTTATCCAGATAGCTTTGGCCTTTGGGGTGGGGTGGAAGGCTGCCCTATGGAGAGGGTGGAGAACTGCTCTACAGAGAGGAGGAAAAAAAAAGTGCATGTGTAGTCCCTTTGCCAATTCTGCGATTAAAAGTGTAAAGAAAAACCCATGAAAGAGATGGAGAGTAAAGAAAGAGTACTTAGTGCAGGCTTCCTCATCCCTTGTTCTCATCCCTGCAGCTTCACCTTCCCTTCCCAGCTCCAGATGTTTTCACCTCTCAGCTGTACCTGCAAACATACCAAATAGCTTTTCCTTCCTCTTCCACGTTGCTCAGACACCAATAGGAGAAGCAACAGCCACAACCTCCCCACCCTCAGCCAAACAGCCTCACCTGCCAGGAGGAGCACAGGGGAAGCTGACCCAGGCTGGACAGCCTGGCTGCTTGCTGGGAGCAAGCAGGCAAAGCTCTGGGGAACTGGAGCACCCCTACTGCACCTGGAGTCTTCACGGGAATGGTTTGGCTAAAGGTGCTCAACAACTTCTTCAGGCATGTGCAAACAGACTGCTTGCAGTCCTGTAAATCGCTCACCTCCAGGCAGATTTTCCCAAGAATGGCATAAGGTATAACCTACATGGGCCGACTCCCCTGGCAAAACTAAGTTTCACCTCCAAAGCAAAAAAGTACAAGGACATGTCAAAAAACAGCTGTAAAAATAGCTGTTTGTTTAACACAGACAAAACATCATTGGGTTTCTTTCCTTAACATGCTCAACAGATGGACTAGTCAGGCTGAATGTTGCAAGGAAAGTTTCAGTTCATGGCAAGAAGTCTGGGAAATAAGAGTCTAAAGGGTTAATGTCTGAGAAAGTAACAAGCAACTAACACAGCTTTATAGTGGGAAGGGAAAGGGAACAGCCATGGCTACAAACTCCCCATATAATTACAACCTGATTCTTCCCCTGCCTCCCAGAAGCTGCTGTGCTTGCTCAGTCCAATCCTAATTTTGGGAAATAAGAACCAACTTCAAACAGCAATTACTCTATTACACACTACTTTTTACAATGCTGCCCTGAAAAACATCTGCATGGTATTTTTCAGCCAGCTCTTATATTAGGTTTTCCACATCCTAATCTTTCACTGAACAGCATAATCACAGTAGGTACCTACCTACCACCACCATGGAGAGCACTGCCACAGCTTTTATGTTAAAGATGACACATAGTTCAATTAAATAAGTTGTCTATAGCAAAAGGAAAGCAGTGCAATTGGAAAAAAAACCTGTGTAAGCAAACAGTTATGACACTGCTCCCTCCCAGACCTGCCTTCTCATATCCCTGCACACAGACTTGCCCCTCAATCTCAGCACAGCACAGGCAGGGGGGAACAGCGATGCTCCCAGCAAAGTGACTTGCTGCACAACTTGCAGCATGCTCTGGTAAATTCTCTCCTGAAGAGTTCATAACACCAACGCTCTCCTAAGCAGATATGGATTCCCAGGGTAACAAGAGGCAGCTCAAAAACAGTCTAGATGGGTTCTTGCAAGCACATCCCAGAACAGAGAGATAGTGTGGCTGTGTAAGTTTGTGTACATTTGGTCACAAACCCTGTATGGTGACAGCACATTCCTGTCAGGTAGCCACAAAAATAATCATTTCCTACCAGTTGCCATTTCAAACAGACCATCAATATTTGCACTGATCTTAAACCTTACCTTGAACTTTGAAACCGACCTGGTAATCCCAGGTCACCCAAGACTAACACCTAATATTGCACTGCTCTAAAGGGCAACAGCAGCAAACGTTAAGTAGCAAATGTGAAGAGACTGTTTTGCTTTTGTTCAGGTTATAAGGTTGGATAACGTTTAAAAATGGTGAACATATGATCACAGGTGTGGTACCAACACCAGCCCTCAGTGTTCCCTCGAGCAGAGTGAACAAGCAATACAAATAGCAAGGTTATTAAACTTACGATGTAAACAGTGGTAAGAGATTCATCTCCCAGTGCCATTGCACATATTCATAGTAACTACTTAAGCTACCGTGATTGCTACTGCTCAACTATGTAGTAAACCTAAATCGCTCACTAAAAACGAGTGACAAGATTAACTAGATAACTATCTGCTAGTGCTGGTCGGCTGCTGAAGGTGAAAACACTCTTCACCTTTCACAAAAGGGCTCACACAGGTGCACTTTGTGAGCTCGAAACAAGATACATTTGTGATGTGCTGCATGAAGCTCCCACCCAACAGAAACATCACACTGCTTGCAACAATGTTCCTACTCATCTTACACATCTGTAATCAACGTGCAACAGCCTGGCAGTTTTTCCCGAATTAAAAATTAAAAGCTTCAGGAAGAAACAGAACGCATCAGTCAATGCCAAGGACAGTTCTTAAGGCCCATTTCTTATGCCGTTTGTACACTGTGGTGGGTGTGGGACAGCCACACTTAGTATCAACTGAAACACAAGTGACAGACACAATGCTCTAAAGACTTTGAAGGCTGTTTTCAAATTCAAAGCACCTTCCAACTAAAACTGAATTAACACTGGTCACAGCCCCGCGAGGTGGATGCTGTTAGACGTGTTCTGCACACGGGAGAACACGTGCTGGCACGGTTCACTGCTTTACCCTTGGCCACGAGTGTGATTACTGGCCAAACTAGGATTACAACGGGAGTTTCCCGTTTCCAGACCAAAGCCAAAGGTAACTTGCTTTCACACCCACACACTTTTGAAGCACACCTAATTCTGAAAAGTAAAGAAACGTGGCAATACGGTACGCACAGCATTGTATCCCCAGCTGAACAGGAGCATCCAAGCGTGCTTTCGAAGCACGGCCAGGCCCACGCAGGTGCGGGCCAGCAGCTGGACACTCGCAGAGATGCCGGGCTTCTGGTTGCTTTTGACACTAAAACACGCTGCACTGAGGCCAAAAGGCACAAGGAAACCAACCCAACGCGTGGCACCCCCGCAGCCTCCCCGGGGCTGTTCAACTCCCTGAACGGAGCCACGGTTCGTCCCGGCTCACCTTCCCCGGCGGGCGCCCGGCTCCT